CAGCGTGGATCCCAAGACCGGCAAAGAGACGCTGTACAACCTGGAGTCGCTCATCAATTCTGCAGTGTTCCCAGGCCTGCAGGGAGGTCCCCACAACCACGCCATTGCTGGTAAAATGTCACCAAAGCCAACCCAGAGCCCTTGGGTGGCACCTGGGGGTGCACCCTCACCCAGGGCAGCCCCACACAAGCTAGTTCTCTTAACTTTGCTCCTCCGGGGCCCCTAACTCCCATCTCACCTGCCCACCGACAAGCGGGTACCAGGACTTGCACACTGGGGAGACACCGGGCTGCCTCTGTCCAGGAGATGCTGTCGGGAGAAAAGGGAAAGTGGAGACGGGTATCAGGCAGGGACACAGGGAGCGATGACCACTCCACACGTGTGGCCGCCCGTAGGCAAAACCGTGTTGGGCCTGTTTCTGTAAAGTGGGTACGGCTGCTTTAAGAAACAACAGTGAGGGGATTTAACAACGAGAAGAAGGCACAGCAAAACGAGTGGGCGATTAGCGCCCAAACCTGGTGAGGACAAGTTGCTTGTCCCCTGACTTCCTGACCCTTGGGCCGCTGACCTTGAGGCTACACGGGAAACGCCTAGGTCTGATTCCACGGTCACCCAGCAGGCTGTCATTGACCCATTCCTTTCCTGTACAAAGAGCTTAGGAAATGTGTGATGATCTCAGAGTTATTCCAGTGTCTTCTTTGGAACAAAGCAGTTTGGCAGAGGAGCCCCGGACAGAGGTGTACAATCTCCATCCAGACTGGTGTTTTGAAGGAGGGGCTTGGGGGAAGAAGCAAGGAGTGGTGAATTTTAGGCCCGAGAGTAGGGAGCGGGTGGGTCTCCACTGGTATCTTCCCATTCTCCCTTTACACCTGCACACTCTGCGTCGTGGTCCCCAGCGCGTGGGAGATGGGATGACTCACCCTGCAGGCCCTCCGGGCCTTTTCTAGTCATTTCCACCGCCGATTAGAGGCTTCTGCATCAGTGCTCAGGCACACCTCTTTTGCCTTCTTCACTTTCTGTGCCCCCGTGAGCAGCCCTTGGGATTGAACAAGGTACTGGAGGAATCTGAACATTCAGGGAAACAGGCCTGCCCCTCTCACCGGGCCCCTGATCTTTCAGATCCGCGTGATCTGGCCTCAGAGCAAAAGCTTTCTGGGTAGCCATTCTCATGTTCGCAAAGGACCGTAAGGCCCACGTTGCCTAAGAGCTGCTTTCCTGTCGTAATCTCAGTAGCACAAGACTCCCAGGCCTGGAGAAAGGCTACTTCACAAGCACCTCCTCAAAGAGGAGAGGCCTGCGGGTTCACCCAGGTAACTGTAGGATTAAAAAAATGTACATCATGGGGGGCGGGGGGGCTATATTCCACTCTCTTCGGTGATACTGAAAAACAAAGAAGCCTGAGCGGAAACCAGCGGTGTTCTTTGACTCCTGGTCGGTCTCGGTCCCCTCCTGTCTTCCTGACCCGTCTCTGTTCTCGCCAGGGGTCGCCGTGGCCCTGAAACAGGCCATGACTCCGGAATTCCGGGAGTACCAGCGCCAGGTGGTGGCCAACTGCAGGGCTCTGGCTGAGACCCTGATGGAGCTGGGCTACAAAGTGGTGACAGGTACCGACAGAACCCCTGGTCGACCCCGGGGAGGGGGTGCCCCCGCTCCTCGGGGTGGCACTTAAACCTCGCACCCGGGCCTGGGCGCTGCAGCCGTGGCTGTGCGCCCTCTGTCACTGGCATGTGACATCACAGGTCCTCAGAAGAGCTTTGTGAAAGGCATACCTGAGGCTCGCCTGAGAAAGGTTTGGTCCCAGTGGCCACACAGCCGGTGGCTGGCGGGGCCACAGCTTGGAACAGCAGGACCCCCAGGACACATGCTGGGGGTGCTCACCTTCCTCACCGCCTCTGCTTTAGCCTCCTTGATCTCTACCCTCCTTCAGAAGAGAGAGATGCCTTCACTCAGCAGGGAGTCAGCTTTCCGCATTCCTCTGTGTCCAATTTGGTTTCCAGGTGGTTCTGACAACCATTTGATCCTCGTGGATCTCCGTTCCAAAGGCACGGATGGTGGCAGGGCCGAGAAGGTACTAGAAGCCTGTTCTATAGCCTGCAACAAGAACACCTGTCCAGGTCAGAATCCTCGCCGGTCTACTCTTCTGCACCCCTCCTGTCAGACTTCTGGCCAGAGTTGTAGCCAATGGCATAGGGGCAGAATCCTGGCTCTCTCCCGGCCTGCCCCTTCTGACACAGTTCCACCCCTGCCAGGGCCAGAGAGGGAGGGACCGAGGTGGACTGCTCGGAGGTGCTACACGTATGTGGAAGAGGAAGCAGGGGCCCCTGGAACAGGCTGGGTTTCTCAGGGGGTGTGGAAAGAAGGTGGGCGATGCATCCCTAACTCACACAGATGCCAGCCTCGCTTTCGGGAGGTCATGCCACAGAGGGCAACCTCCTTACTGTTTCATCACAGTGGCCGAAATGGGCGGCCGTCTCCTGTGCATTTGTTCCGGCCCCTGGCGTTTAAATGAGCGCTGCTCCGCGTCCGGGATGCAGCTGGCATCCACCAGCCGGTTTGTTGGCCAGCTGTCTTCTTAAATGCGCAGTGGTCAGCAGGGAGTTGGGTGCAGCCACAGGACAGAGCTGGTTTTTGTTGAAGGTGACAAAAGCGCACTGCGGCCTAGCGGACTGCGTCTGGGGACTCCGGCCCTGACATCCCGAGGACTTTTGGAAAAAGAGTTCCAAAAAGTCGCCCAGTTTATTCACAGAGGTAAGGAGAAAGGGTTGGAAGTTGGCCACCTGAGACCATGGGTGGAATTTCTGATTGTGGCTGAGCAGCCGAGACCCAGCCGCTGAAGCACGTTCGGTGTCCAGGCTGAGTGCTGGGGACAAGTGACAGCAAACACTAAACACTGAGACATGTGTAACTTGTCCTGCCCAAGGAAGGGGGCCATGGGAGAATCCTTTCCCAGGTCAACATGGACACCTAAGGCTGTCACACACCCCCAGCCGCCAGGCCTCGGTGGGTCCCCTGGGCCCCCCGAGCCACCGCACTGGGAGCCCACAGAGGGCTTGTTGTGTCTCTTGCCAACACAGGGATAGAACTGACTCTGCAGATTCAGAACGACGTTGGTGCCAAAGCCACCCTGAAGGAGTTCAAGGAGAAACTGGCTGGGGACGAGAAGCACCAAAGGGCCATCAGGGCCCTCAGGGAGGAAGTGGAGAGCTTCGCGTCTCTCTTCCCTCTGCCTGGCCGGCCTGACGTCTAGAGGAGCCGCCGGCCCGTGGGCCCCGGCCGCAGCCCCTGAGCATCGGGACTGCTCCGGAACCACTTGCTTGAGGAGCCGGTGCCCTCGTGGGGAGGCGGGAGAGCCGCCCCACACAGGACCGCACTGGGTCCATTTCTTCGTGCCCTCCGAGGGGGGTTCCTTTTGGACTTTCCTCCTGTTGTCTCCACAAACCAAAATTTGTTTAGGACCCGTTGTTAGTAATTCTGGGACAGGTTATTAAGGAGTTTAAGTTTGGTGCTTTCAGGTCTTCTGGAAAAATGAAATATTTAGACTGGGTCCAGGGCAGGTAACTAGAAAAGACCCCAGTGGTTGTATTCGCCCTTCTCTGAGTTACTGGGCTCCCTCCAGACTGCAATACAAAAAGCCCCAAGTTCAGAGCTTCTGAAAGCTGCCACTCTGTAATCTCCTGTTTCGCGGCGGGCTGCTGCAGAACCGATTTGTGACCATTACAACCGAAAAGGGGAATTCTGAAGCTTCTGGTTAGGTCTGTGCGACTGATGTGGTGGGAGAAAGTCTGTGGCAGCTCGGTGTCGTGGACATGGTGTCCTTCACCCCCCACCCCTGGAGAGTACCGGGGCCCGGCAGGTGGGAGCACCAGCTGGGGAGGGAGATGGCTTTCCTGCCCTGTGCCAGATAGCCAACTCCCTCCTGTAATCAGGAGACCAGATGTCACCTTCTCAGAGAAACTTTATTTTTCACAGAGCTGAAGTGCAAAACATAGATGACCATTTTTTAATAAGCACAATCAAATATGTACCCACAGAATGTCTACAAGAATTATAATAGCTTTAAAAAATACAACCAACTTTTATATCTCAAAAATATCTGAACTCAAATAAATTAATTTCTTAAAAAGTACACTTCTCATACTATTTGTTTGGCATTTCCTCTGCTTAAACTGTGGTGCAGCCGGACCCAAGGGCTGCCATCACGTGCGTGTTCCAAGCACTCGCGTGGGGACGAGTGCAGCTCATATGGTGCCAGGAGTCACGTACACACACATGGACAGAGGGACATGCAGTAATAAAATAGTTTTCCAAAAATAACAAATACGAATTCATCACAGACTATGCCTTTCACGGCAGCCTTAAAAGGTGGCGTTTGTTTTAACCCAACCCGTGAAGCCAGCCAGCGCTGGGCAGCGTGGGGTGCCTCACCCACGGTCCTGCCTGGGAGGTGCCCCTGGGGTCTAGGCTCCAGCGCAGGTGGGGACAGCTGCTGCAGACTGCACGGGGTGTGGGTGACACACCAGTCCCCAGGGCTCTGCCTCAACTTGGGGAGCCGTTAACGCTGTCGAGACAGTCTTCCTTTCGGGGGCCTGGCTCCTCCCCCAGCCAGGACATCTCCAAGACACCCCCCCACCCCGCCCCACCGGGTCGCCTCCACTTTGGAGCTAGGCAAGGCCTCCCGGGACCCCGGGCTCTGCACCGGCGGCTCAGTTAATTCACTTCAAAGTGCTCGTTCCCCCCACCCCCGTCATCTCCCCGCACGGTCATACCAAACCTTAACAGATGTGGCCAGATCAGGTCAGTGCTCACAGCGTTCTTCTTTGGGGGCTCAGGAAAACTTGGTGTGCTCGGACCTTATCAGCCGAGAATGGTTTTATTTCCGTCCAGAATTAGCAATTTGATGGTTTTTCCTTTTTGCAGTCTGTTAATACCGTATCTTTGAAAAGTTCCAGTTCTGTCACTGTCATAGTATTTGGGGAAAAGCCAGAAAGCTAGCTGGTTTGCTTCCAAAGCACAAACCAAGGCACTTTCTTCTGAGCTTTCTAGGGAGACGGGATGTAAAACCGGATTGCTGGCTTGGGAGATCGGCTCCTCTGAAGGCTGTCCACACTTCCCGATGGGCTCCCCGCCAGCCGAGTGGTACCGCGGTGGAGAAGGTGACCTGCCTGGCAACACCAGGCCCGGGGCGCTGGGGACACGCGTCCCGCACTGGTGGAAGTAGGTGGTCACCGTGCGTGCTGCTCCCAGCCTCCAGAAACATGGCAACTGTAGCAGCCCTGGCACTTGGGGCAGAAAACTGGTGGACTTCGTAGGATTTGAACTGGGGTGTGTCATTTGGGGTTGAATCCTACAATACCTTGACTATAGCAACAGAGAATTGGAAGGCTAGATGGGAAATGACAGGTGGGCTATCATGGTTCGTTTCCAAATTCCGGTGCAATCTGTATGACTTCAGCCATTCCAAGTCAGTCACAGAAGAGTCACAATTTCTAAAATCCCAGTAATCCACCAAAAGGAGCAGGATGCCTAGGGAAATGGTGAGGTGGGAGGTGACAGTTCAGGCTGGAGCGTCCCAAGGGCCACACGTGCTACAAAGGCTTTTGGCTCCTCTGTACCATGGAGCTTCTGGAAATCACTATGGTGTAACTGCTAGCCTGATCAGGCTGTTCTCAACACGGACTGCTTGAAAAAGGGTGGCTGGGGGCAGGGCAGCGGTAATGGATTGGAAGTAAAGTTGAACTAAATCTCAGACAGTTTTGGTGCCTGGGCCTTCAAAGTGAGTCAGGACTGGCAAAGTCAAGGGCACTGATGTCCCTATTTTCTGCAAAGTGTTTTTAAAATGCTTTATTTGAGGCAAACCTGAAATGAATATTTTTAAAGAGAGAGTCCCGTTGCACAGAGTTCCCCAGCCTTAAGGTTTATAGATGCGGGACTTCTAGTGGGCTCCACTTCTCCCAAGCGGAGGGGGTCTGTGAAGGGCAGGCCCACAGTCTCAAGTGCCTGCCCAAACTGGCTCAGTCCCACCGCCACTTTAAAATCCCTTTGGAAAGAAACATACTTGACGTGAAGCAATCCTTTGAAACTGCCACACTGAGAAGCTAGATTTTAACCAAAATTTAAAACTGGAGTTTAACCAATTTACTTGTCTGTGAAGCTAACTTTCTTTCAGGGAGGAACGAGTCAAGGGAGACACTGGTCATCTGCTCCTTCTGGGCCTGGCCCCAGGACAGGGCACACCCGTTCCATTCACCCCCCACAGGCCTCTTGACTTAGAATCCCGGGGCCTCTGGAACCATCCTTGAGGCAAAGCGTCCAAGCAAACACCCTCTGAAGGGATTTCTACTTCAGACTATGGTATTGCATGGCCTTAGCTTCTAGAAGACCAAAATGACTGACCTTCTGCCTCGCTCAGATCAGTTTCCCAGGTGACGGCCACGCTAACCATAGAGTCCGTGGTGCTGTGGAACAGGATGAACAGCAATGGTGGTGCTAATAATCGCTTTCAACTTTGCCAAATTGACTCCACAGACCCTTGTTTCCCTTGGAGATAAAGTGTCGTAAGGTCATGTCCCTGGAGGCCTGAGTAGACAACAATTAGCCACCCAGTTAGAAAACAAAGCAGCATCTTGAACAAGAGGGAACACTGGAGGCAGCAACGAAGAGGGGAGCCCGCGGAGAGAGACAGGTGTCCCCCGCAGCCTCCCCCGCACGCAAACACGCTTCACAGTTAAAGCTGCCAAGACGTTCTGGCGACTCTTCTGTGTGGGAACATATGTAACAGGCACGGGTACAAAGAACCCCCGTGAGGTGTAGACAGATGTCTGCCATAGAAGGTTCTCAGTCCCAGCCTCAGAAGCAAACCCACACGCCATCAGGAACACGGACCCTGACCAGAAGCCGGCGGCCAGGAGCCAACGGGCCGCATCCCCGTGCAGAGGACCTGGGCGAGGAAGGGACCACGGGAGGGATGTGACGCAAACCCCGCTTGGGTTCCTGCCTCCCCTACCTCGATGGCGTGCCACAAAGCTGACGGGGGCCAGTCTCAACAGCAAGACCCTAACAACACGGAACGCAGCACCAGCAGGGGCACACACGCGTGCTCGCTCAGGAGCAGCCGCTTGTGGCTGGCTCGGGTCTGTTTTATCACAATTTTCTTGGAACGAATTAGAAAGCAGTAATACTAAGAGGTCTCCCCAGTTGGAGACAAAAGCAGCCATACAAAAAGAAAAAGTATAAAGACTTCAAGGTTGCAAGAAACCCTCTATCAACAAACCAACAGCAACTGAGTAAGGAGCCTCGGGTGGGGGGGGGGGTGTCACATGGGCAAGTCGGGGATTGTCACCTTCCCTGAAGGGAGGACTCCCACGGGGCCGGGAGTGAGCGTGGTGAGGAGCATGTACTTGGGGGCCCCCACGGGGCTGGGGCTGAGCATGGTGAGGTAAGCACACCTGGGGGGCCCGCATGGGCCGGAGTGAACAGTGGTGAGGTGCGTGTATTTGGGGGGCCTGCGTGGGGCAGGCGTGAGCCTCGGTGAGGTGTGGGCACCCCAGGCCCATGTGGGACAGATCCATGAGGACGGCCACACGAGGCGGCTCTCCTCCCTCCTGGAGGAGACCCGGCCGTGGGTCCTCCCCAGCCGGCTGCCCACCCCAACCAAGCAGCGCGGCAGAACCCCGCCATCACCGAGCCCGCAAGACCCTGCGAGAGGTAGTGAAGTGGTTGCAAAGTTTGCTGCGGGTGGAGGACTGGGGTGCGACCTCGGCCGAATCCCAGCACGTCTGCAGACCTCCCCAAGAGGGCGGTACGGACGGGCCCCTGCCGGAAAGGCTGGCGGGCTGGGCCCAAGGCCTGCCGCCTCTCGGTCACGCGCACGGTGGTGATGGCACGTGGCCCCGGGCTCTCGGGCTGTGAGCGTGGTTCTCACTCACAGGCAGCGACTGACGCCGGTCAGTGCTGCTGACCTGGGGGCGTCAGGTGCAGGGCCCCCCTGCAGGCAGCTCTGTGCCCAACGGGGAAGCGAGGACCGGACAGGGTGCTGCTCGCTCTCCCTGCAGCCCTGGGGCGCAGAAGGTCACGTATCTGCCACCACCCAGCCGCACCGCTGCCTCCCCTCCGTCTCACTCATTCGGGGGCTTCCTCCGGGATGATGGGCTCTGGGGGGCCGAGTGAAAGAGCCTGGCCGGGATCTGAATGGGGCAATGGATGTTCCGTTGTCCAGTTTCCCACCAAACCATTTCAGTTACCGGGGCGCTTCCCTGGACTTTGTTGCCCAAGCGTCTGGAAACTGAACGCACAGCCTGCTCCTCCTGTCTGGCCTTCGCCCTTCCGCCCCGCGTCCCACCCCGTCAAAAGGGCGCCGGCTCTCTTCTGGCCTGGCCACCAGTCCTCGGGGAGCCAAGCGGCCCCTCCTCACCAGGGGGCTGAGAGACCTATTACCGTCCTTACTGATGCCTTCACAGAACCAGGCGCCCGCCCCTGCCTGGGTCCCAACTCCCAAACCGCCTGAAGCCACCTGGGAACCCACGCTGCCACCTTGGTTTCCGTCCCACTGAGGCCACCAGCAGTCTAGACAGCTCAGAGGACCGCCTGTGCATACCAACCCCTCCCCTCCCCGTACCCTGAGTCACAGGTCTTGGTCACAGTGGCTGGGACTGACCTCAGATTTTGTACAAAAAGCTGGGGACGTAGTCGAACCTGAGCGTGGGGTGGCCGGGCCCGGGAGCCTCCTGCATGTAGTGCAGCTTCAGCAGCTCCGCCAGGTACTGGACCACCTTCGTGTCTTCATTCACCAGACCCAGGTTCTGCTTCAGGAAGCCCGCCCGGCGGCTGGCCAGCAGTTCCTCGGTCTCCCTGTCGTGGGCAGGCAGGTGCAGGTGGTGGCAAAAGGTGTAGAGGAAGGCCTGGGAGCAGAGCTGGGTGAGCACGCTCCGGACGTGCAGGTAGTAGGTGCTGCCCCGCCTGATGTGAGTGCGGTGGTCGGCTAGCCGGGGCACGAGGGCGCCTCTGTAGAGGGGGCAGCGCAGGGTTTTGCTGTCCAGGTCCAGGATGCTTGTGTAGCGGCTGTAGCGGCTCAGGGTGTGGAGGGTGCCGGCGCCGGCAGGGGACGCCACTCTGAAACATACAGGCAATGTCAGGAGGAGACGCTGGGGGAGGGGGGTGGCGGGGTGGGGGGTGGGTGGCAGCGGCGGGGGTCTTCCCGTCTCCTGGCCAGCTTCCGTCGGCCAACACTCACTGGCTCTTTCTCAAGGCAAATGTGATCATGATGCTCTTCAAAGGGCTTCTCACCACCCTCGTGACCAAGTTCAAATGCCCCGGTATGGCCCATAGGCTCTGCTTCCTGCGGGCCTTTGAGGCCCCATCTGTTACACTCACGGCTTCCTTGAGGCCACGCCAAGCTTTCGGGAAGGACTCAAAATCACGGCTCCTCGTGCTCTGCCCAGAATGCCTTTCCCTTCCATTTGTACTTGGTTTATGCCCATTCAAACCTTACTCAACCATCCCCGATCCCCTCCTCTGCTTCCTTGCTTTGCTTTGTGACCCTGACCAAGTTCCTTAGCCGTTCTGGGCCCCAGCTGTGACACAGGGATCACTGGTCCTGCCTCATGCGGTCATTGCAGAGACAAAATGGATTGAACTTAGGATAGTGGGTGGCCCTCGGTATCAGCCTGCCACCAGTGTGGGGACTGCCATTTAGCTCTTGTCTCTCCCACTGGACGGAGCTTCAGCAGACCCAGGACATCTGATTTGGCCTCCTGCCCCACTGCCCACACATCAGAGGCAGGCGGGGCTTGTTCAGTGAGGGAAGGGGTCCGAGCAATCAGCCCTAATAGCTCTTTACAATCCTCTGGGAGCCTGGGTGGCTCAGTGGGTTAAGCGGCCGACTCTTGTTTTTGGCTCAGGTCATGATCTCACTCGCAGTTCGTGAGATTGAACCCCTGCCTGGGATTCTCTGTCCCCTCTCTCTGACCCTCTCAAAATAAAAGAAAAATTCTCTAGTTTGGTTTTACCTGAGAGTCACCTTGCAGTCTGGCAAACGTCTGGCTGACCAGAGATTTCACAGACGGGCACAGCTCTGGATTTCAACGCTTGTGCTAGACCTCAGGTATTGGGTACAAAGGATGACAATCACTTGGGACCAAGGTAACCTTCCTGGGTGTTGTCATCTTCCCGTGTAGTTAACAGCACCTACTACACACCAGGCAGTGACCTAGGGGCTGAATAAGCCATGAAGAACGAGCCTGGTCAGGCTGGGAAGAAAAGACAGACACATGGGATACTGAGCAGAGATGTGGTCTTGGTCTCCACGGGGAGGCCCGGGGCCAGGAAAGTTCTGGAAGAATGGCCTCTGAGCTGGGCCTTATAAGAAAGGTGGGCTCTGAGAACCTCGGACGGCACCCAGACCACACAGAGCAGGACCACAGAGGCAGGAAAACAGAGCCACACGGGCCACGTGTTTGGAAAGCCATGAGGAGAGCAGCGGGCTGGGGACTGATCGCACAGGCGATGAGGAAGCCGGGCCTGCAGGTGCTCACTGGCTTCGCGGGGACACGGCCTTCTCGGTCGTGCTCCCAGCGTGCTCAGTCTGCTCCTGGGGCACCCTTACCTCCCTCGGAAACGGGCCCAGGATGCAAGCCAAATGCCTCCTCAACGCTGGCACACCCGGCCCTGAGGCTCTGCTCGCGCAGCGGAGCCAGGCCTCACCCCATCTTCCTGCCCCTCTGTTCCAGCCCCGTCCTGCTGGGACACCTTGCCTTGGCCCTGCCACTCCCGGGACCTCTGACACCCCCACACCTACCCCCACCTACAGAGGCACCACTTCTTTGAAGGTGCTGCTCCTTCTAACCCTCCCTCCGCTTGTTTCCCACAAGGCTTGTCAGGGAGCAAGATAGCACGGAACGAGGCAAGCCCCAGGCCTTCGGTCCCCACTCCTCCCACACCCGTCTTAGGTTCCAGATGGCCCATCCCAGCACCGGGGGAGCCTCTGGACACATGTGAACACTGAGGCCCAAAGAGGGGCCGTGGCTCATCCAAGGTCCCCCAGCTAGGACGTGGCTGAGCCAGCAAGCGACCAGGGCCTCTCCCTGCCCCACCCCACCCTCCACAACTAGCACTTTCTCCCGTGAGTACTGAGCTCTGTTTTTCAAATAGTCCAGGGCTTGGTCCTGCTACTTGGTGAGCAATACAATTATGCTTCATTGTGATTTAAACTAGGAAACAACCTAAATACTTATCCATCTCTTATGCTCACAAGTGATAGATCTGCCAGATGAGCATTCGTAGGCAGAAGGCCCACTTCAGTGAGGGGAAAAAAAATCCAAGGCCAGTGAAACTGGTCGGTTTGGGGTAAGAGTCTTTAAAAACAAATTATCGTCTGAGCTGGTTCTGGCTGGAGTCAAAGCCCCTGAGTGGGAACAGACCCTCCCAGGTCAGAGGTTTCGGACTCCAGATTAACGCAGTACAGGGCATCACCCCCTTCCATTGCTGAGCTCCCCCGTCTCCGGGCGGGAAGTTCATGGCCACACAGAAGCCCCTCTTCTATCACTACTCTTGAATGCTGACCCTCAGAAGGGCCTCAATCTGCCTCCCGGCTTGAACCCTGGTTCTGCCTGCCGGGCCGGCTCCCCATCTCTCCGCAACCCTGAGCACGTCTAAGGGCGAGCACCATGCTAGGGCTTTACTACCTTCCAGACGTGCACCTTCGCCACCGCTCCACACGGTGAGCATCCTAAGCCCCACTCGCACATGGGCTCACAATCTCTGCTAACAAGCGAGAAGAGCAGAGGGCCCGGATTCACACAGTGGGGAGCGGCAGCATCGGGACCTGAGCTCACAGCGCCCACCGCATCCCTCCCTAACCACGACGGGGCACGACTCCAGGCTTTCATCTCCGAGTGCGCATTGTGCTCAGAATTCAGACTGGAGTGACTGCTCACCTCCCAGGATTCCCTTGGGGGAGCTGTGGCCAAACCGGTCCCCACGCCTGTGACGTGGCCCCTAGGGAACAAGGCCTCCGACCCCCGCCCACCGTCCGTCACACCAGAGCAGGACCCTCCGAGAAAGACACTGCCTATTCCCGGCGTGTGTGCGCGCCCACAACGTGTGAGAAGCAGAGCGGGAGACACTCCCCACTCCAGACCGTCTGCAAAGCTCTCGCCTGTCACTTCTGATGGATCCCTCGCTGTCGCACAGGGATGCTGAACGGCTGTAAGGCCCGGCCGGTGAGGGCCACGCTCAGCGCCCGCGGCCTTGGCCCGCCTGCCCGGAGGCGGTGCGCATCCCCGCTCGGCTATCAGAGACACGCTCGCGCGGATGGGGCACCGAGCAGATGTGACGGGCCCTTCCTCACCTGCTCTCGCGAGGCAGGTGACGGCAGCTCCGTCTGCAGACACAAACGGCCTCAGAGGCTAGGCTAACAGAGGGGTGACAGAGCCGGGGGGGTGGGGGGGGCACGAAGGCGGTGCCTGCCCTGTCACGGGGCCGCGCCACGGCTGACTCACCTCACAGGGCTGGCAGCGGGCCGGGTGGCTAGCACTTCCCAGCCTTCTATAAGCTCCGGGCAAATGGTCGGTGACCCAACCCTGTCATCGTCTCAGGAGGGAACAAAGCCTCGCGTGGAGGCGTGGAGGAGGGACCTGCCCGCTGCAGGTGGGGATGAATACCGACCCCGGTAGGGCCGGCCCAGGACCTAGAGCAACTCGCGGAGCCCTTTGCAGCTCAGGGAGCCCGCCCGCCAGCTACTCGCTTGCGCCCAGACTTCATTACTGGATCACAGGCAGGTCTGCCAAGGCGACCAGCCTAGGCCTCAGGATCCTCAACACAGCATGCCAGCCAGGGACCCAGGAGAACAGAGCTGGTGTAAGACATGAACTTTCGCCGTTCTGGCACATTCTAAGGTGGGAATTTCAGGGAGAGCGGAAAGGGCAACACTGTCCTGAGCCCAGTGCCAGGTAAGCTGGCTGTGAATACACTGCCGTGCAGTCTATTTGAGGTGAAGAAGAGAACGGTCAGAGGTGGGGGCGAGGGAGTCAGTGGGAGAAGAGGTGTGTTTAAGGGACGCTGACACGTCCTTCTACCGAGACGAGTAGCAGAGACCATCCAGGACAGGTCCTGCCCTGCCCACAACAGACATGTTACCCCAGCACAGAGCTGCCATCAGCCGACGGACGGGATCCCGAGGGGAAGGAAAAGCCTGCAAGGGCACCTGGTGCGGCCCTCTAACTCCCGAGCCTGATTCTGCATCCATAAGCAAGGACTCGACTCTGAGGGGCTGGTCCAGGTGTCTTGGGCGTGTCACACCAAGTCCCCATGTCACACCGGCAAGCCCACCCTCCTGGTCGCTCGAGCCAAAGACCTCAGGCCGTCCCCGGGCGCCTAGCTCCCTCACCTCCCACGTGTCACGAAAGCGCCTCGTTTGTTTTCTGAGCACACACATGACGCACCTGCTGCTGGAACTCTCCTCCCTGCTCCGCAAGGCTGCGGTCTCCCGTCTCTGCTCCTGAACTCTGGAGTCTTCCAGGGCAGCGGCCTTGCTCAGGCACCCCCAGACGGTACCCCCGCGCCCGCCAGCATGGCCAGCGAGCCAAGTCATGATGAGGAAACAACACTTGCTTGAATCCCAGCACCACGACCCTGGGTAAAGCCTAACGTGGCAAGGGGTGGAGTGAGGGCTCGGTGATTTCTGCAAGAGGGGCGATAGCAGGTGATTCAGGAGAGTGAGGTCAGTGAGCTCACGGGCACCAGGGACCTCCACAAAGGAAAGGAGGAACATCAGAACAAACGGTTGCTGACTGCAGAGCGGCAGAAATTCCCTTTGCTCCTCCCATGTGGCATAGGAGGCGCGGGCTGCCTGCGCCAGCACCTGCGTTACAGATGTGCCAAGCAGGCTGCAGGGAAGGGACTGAGGACACACCCTGAGGGAAACAGACCCTCAAGCCAGACAACCTGTCAAGCAGTATTCAGAAAAACAAAAGGGAGTCTACTAACACTCCGGTAACTTGGTGAAATGAAACAGCATTCAAACAGAGGAAGGGGGACTTGGATCTTGCATTTCCTTATTGTTATTTAAAAAATTTTTTTTTTAACATATATTCATTTTTCAGAGAGAGAGAGACACACAAAGTGTGAGTGGGGGAGGGGCAGAGAGGGGGAGACACAGAATCGGAAGCAGGCTTCAGGCTCCAAGTTATCAGCACAGGGCCTGACGCGGGGCTCAAACTAACGAACCGTGAGATCATGACCTCAGCCAAAGTCAGACACTTAACCGACTGAGCCACCCAGATGCCCCTTGCATTTTCTTATTAAGACAGAGTTCTAAGGGGGAAGAAAGATAGCCTTCTAGGGCAAACAGGACAGTGGAGTAAGAGCCACTGGAGCCCTCTGATGTCCTTGTCAACAGTGATGGCTGCCACCTTCTACGAATACCACAGCCCTTTCTCTGAAGCAGCTCTCAGTCATTCATACCATCGTGTGAATTTCAACATCCCCAAGAAACTGAGATCTAGAAGTCCGGTTATCCCCCAGCGCTTGCTGTACTCCAGATAAACTCCATGTCCAACTGAATCAGAATCTCTTGGGGGATAGGGCCCCGAAATTCATGATCTAAAAAATTCCCCTAAATAATTCTGACCCGACAGGTTGAAGACCACTTAGGACCTGCAACCCCTCACGGGAGGGACAAGGAAAGAGGAGACCAGAGAAAGGGAATGACCTGTCCAAAGTTACAGACCGAGTTGGTGCTGGGGGCCCCGTCTGGAAGCCAGGTCTCCCGACTGCAGCCCCACCGCGCGGACCTGTTAACCTCACCCGGAGGGATGGACGTTCAAAACCTCGTCTCTAATCAGACAGGGCCCTTCCCCGCCCCCCGGTAACCAGTTACCTCTGCAGGCCGATCAGCTTCCACTTCTGGAAATCCGTGATGTGCAAAGGAGAGGAGACCCAGTGTTTCACGGGTTTGGCGTAACGGCTGTGGTTGGGGACAAAGATGGACAGCGCCGTCACGAGCTTTCTCACGATGGCCTCGTCTTCCCCCAGGACCACAAGCGTCCTCCCGCTGAGCAGGGAGTAGATGGCTGGATGGGCAAAGGGGTACTGACGGATGAATTTTAAGGCGTTCTGGCCAGCCCTCTTTCTATGCCTCTCAGAAGAGGGCCCGGTGGGATGAGCGGAGGAGGGAGTCCTGTCTGAGCTGGTGGAGGCTACACTGCTCATGGTGCTGGTGGTGTCTGAGAAGTTGTCCAGGCTGGTCTTGCTGACGTCCCGGCTAGCCAGCAAGCGGCCCGGGTCCAGCTCAAAAGCGGGGAAGCCTTCGGAACTGGTGTCTCGGGAAGGGCTGGCGCTTTCCCCCGCAAAGTCCACACGGAACCCCAGGTCTTTCTGCCTGTAGCGCTGCGGGGGGCTGCTCACCACTCCGTCTGGGTCAGGGTGTGTGTGGGCTGCGGTGGAGAGGGGCACCCGCAGACTGTCACTCTCCTTCCCGATGCAGCAGGATGAGTCTGTTTGGGACAGGATGTTTGCTAAGCTGCCCTCCTGTGCCTCACCCAGCTCTGGTGGGCTGACGCTTGCCTGGAAGTGGATGGCTCCCTCGCCGTCATCTGCGTATGACTCTTCTTCGTTAATGGCACTTGGGTAGCTGGCCTTAAAGTCGTCAGGGATGAGGGCCTCAGAGGGGCAGGTGCTGAGGACTTCAATACTGTCCTCGCTGATGGTCCTGTGGCTGACTGCTTTGCTCCGGATCACCTGGGGGCTCAACGGCACCGTGAGGCTGGCCTGGCTGTCAGACTTAGACAGCACAGAGGTGGACTTCTCCGTGCCCAGAACCTCGATGCTTTCACCGCTGCTGATGCTCCCCTTCATATCCATATCCAGGTAGTCCAAGTTTTCCTGGGGGTCAAAACTGCTCAACTCTGTCCCCTCCGCTTCCTTATACTCCTCATCTCCAAGTTCCTGATCCATCTTGATGGGCACAGACTCCACACTTGACTTGTAAGAGCCAACGCTAATTAACACTTGAGGAATCGGACATTCTTCCAGAGACCTGGAAGGCGGCCTGCCTGGACTGGGCTTAGGGGGTGTGCTCTCTAGTTTCTCTACCACCCTGTCGTCGACCTCCACAAAATCTTCAAAGAGGAAGTTTGTCATATGCTGTTGTTTTAGAAGCGCTCTGTCAATCTGGCTGGTCAGAAGGTAGCACAGGTCTCCTCTGAACATGTGCTCAATGTGGCTGAGCTGAGCCAGGGTCTGGGTGAAATACTCCGTGTCACAGAGCTCTTCCAAGGTCTTCAACTTCTTGTCAAAACACTTGGTGGACTTCGCTTTGATGAGTTTTGGGGTGTAGGCAGGTCTGCAGGTGTAAAGGTCTGCATCAGCAGACTCTTCAGGGTTAGAGGTAGTGGCTACCTGGTCGGCCTGATCCTGGGTGCGCTCCGTCTCCGCAGAACACAAGGCAGACCCCTTCGACTTCCGATGAGGGTACGAGCGGATCTGCTTCAGCAGGTCTTGATGTTCAATTATGGACTTCTCTACACTGGCCAGCTCATTGGCTTTCTCAATTGCCTGAGACGAGTAAAAGCCTTTGTCGTTGGCCTTCTTCTGGATCTCCGTTTCGGTGTGCAGCACTGTCCTGGTGTAATCCAAGTCTTTCAGTTTTTTTTCAAGTTCTCCCGCAAATGCCTTCCTGTTGCCTGTCTTCAAGCACTCAGAAGCTTTGGAAAACTCAGCCGAGAGCTCCTGAAACTGCTGCATGATTTTGTGCTGGTCTGCTGAGATATAAGCCATGCAGAAGGGCCTCACAAAGCCTCGGGCCTCCAGGTCGTACAGGGTAAGGTGGTGCACATACGCAAAGGCTCCCTCCTTGGAGTCTCCCAGCACCACCTTGGAGTCCTCCACAAAGTTCAGCTTGGGGTAAGCAGAACCAGGGGGATGGCCCACAAAGGAGGCCTGGTAATCCACAGACATGATCCGCAAGGAGAAGTAATTGAGATCAAAAGTACCAAAAACTTTGGTGTCATTGGGGATGGTCAGCAAGGGCTGTGGTCCCACCTGCTCGGAGAACTCGGAAATAAGGATGAAGTCCCGAGAGAACTTGGCCCCGGACAGTTTGGACCATGGGTTGGCTCCTTGGCTGGCGAAGGGGAAGAGAGGCACCGAGTACTCCTCGGGCAAGGCGGGCTCATTGTAAGGCTCCTCCTCGTACTCCTCCTCTTTGGTGAAGGCCACCACGTCAGGGGCGCTGATCATATTTCCAGATGTATGGAGAGAACATTGAGAGGAAGTGAGAAAGAATGCGGGGGTAATCAACGCAGGGAAGCCAGGCCTCTGGAAGAGGAAGCAAAGACGTTTGTGGTCTTCTTTGCGCCCTCGGGGGTACTAGGCTGCCTCTCACACACTCGAAGACTCGAACTCCCACAGTCCCCTCGGAGATCTGGCTAACTCTTCCAAAGCCCACAAAGTCCTCATGAACTCCGCAGGTCCAAGAGACCGGGTAAGGCCGGTTACTCTTCTCTTCCTCCTCCTCCTCCTCCGGCGAGGGCGTCCGGCGCAGGACACCTGCAGGGAGGTCACCCGCACACCCAGAACACACCGCAACAGCAACAGCCCAGCCCAGAACCGACCCCTAACGCGGGACTACGGGCCGCCGCAGGGGCCAGTCAAGTACTGCCGCCCCCACGGCCCGAGGGCAGAAACCGTCGCGACTTCTTGGACGCCACAACCTGGAGCCAGCTACCGCGGCGCCGCCATCTTGGCATCACATGACTCTCGGTGTCTTGCGCCGCGTGACCCGGAAGTGTCCGCGTAGGCTTCCGAGCGGGAGAGAAAGACTGTGAGCTAAGGGCAGGTTTGGACGGCACTGTCGAGCGGCCTCTCCCAAGGACAATCAATTTACCAACCACCGTCGTAAAAGAAAGGAAGTGGGGCGGAGGAGCGGAAACGTACAAGGAGTCCAGGGCGCGGGGTAGTCTGGGAGTTGTAGTTCCGGTCCTGCAGTGCTCGCGCCGGGCGGATATAGCCCCAGAAGGCGGGCGGATGTAGCCCCAGAAGGCGGGCGGAAGCGGGACGTCTGGGTTCGGAATTCCCTGCCGTGGCCGCGGGTCCGAAGCCCTGCGGGCTTAGGGGAGGTGGCCGGGACGCGGCAGGTGGCGCTGGCGGCTTTCGGGGGGCCCCATTTCCCCTCGTGCGGGCGCCAGGTGGACGTCACCTCTGGCTTCTCCAGCATGCATGGACACCTGGCGGGCGGCTGCGGGCGCGGGGCCTAGGGATGATCTTCCCGGTTGCCCGCTGCACTCTCCGCTGGCTGCAACGGCCGGGAGCCCGGACTGTGTCCCGCGCTGCCATGGAGGTGGCCTTCCGAGGCGTGCGGAAAATTCTCTGTGTGGCCGAGAAAAACGACGCGGCCAAGGGGATCGCCGACCTGCTGTCCAACGGTCGCATGAGGCGGGTAAGGAGGCGTATGTCCGATCAGCTGTGCGGGTGAGGGAAGTGTCCCGATCACCCAGCGGGACAGCGCCGCAGCGGCTTCGTCTTCTTTTCGGACCGATAGGCATTTAAAAGCGTAGTTAAGACTCTTCATCCATGTGCTTGAAAACCTTGGCTCCTCCTTGTCCACAGCAGCGGTTCCCAAACTAGTCTGAGAATCGAAACTAGCTGGGACACTGGCTATTCTGTGGGTCTGGGATGAGCCCAGGGAAAGCTGTGTTTTAAAACTCAATTCCCTGTGCTTCGAAAACTCATTTATTGGGAACCACTGATCACAGTGCTTTAACTTGGCAGTCAAGCCCTGTCCGAGCATTCCCAGATAACCTAGCTCTCTCCATCAACAGAGCACATCCCCTCGGCCCTGCGCCCCGCTGGCTTTACAGTCTTTAAACGCATATAAACAAGGCAGTACACCTAGGCTTTGGGATTAGAGGGAACATCTGCCCTCTTCCTGCTAGTACAAACGCACTCGGAGAGACAGGCAAGTAAGGGATGAAAATGTGTTCTAGACCCACAAGAGGTGCAGAGGAAGGCGAAAGAAAAAGAATTTGTAAAAGAGGTGGCATGGAGGTGATTAAGAGCTGTTCAGGAAAATCTGTCAAATAAAAGTGGGTTGTGAAATAGTTTCCTGGACGCCATTTCTAACAGTGTGGAGCAGAAGGTCACTGCTCTTTTTTCCTTGCAAGATCCCAAGGTCTTTCCTTAGACCTCCATTTCTAGCTCGTAGATAGTGGGAGCAAGAGCTGAGGTTGTGTCTGTAGAGTTCAGGCCTCTGCCCTCACGTGGAGAACTCGGACAGCTTTCTCCCTAGCTTTTCACTATTGAAATTCTGGGTAGCCAGCGTGACTTTATAAAACACAGATAGGACTGCAGTAATTCCCTACTTAAAACCTACATTGCTTATCTCAATTGATGTGGAATTTGATAAAAATTTAATCCTCTTCATGATAAAAGACATTTATGAAAATCCCATTACTAACATTATTCGGAGGGTGAAACACTGGAAGGAAGCTTTTCCTCTAAGATCAAGAGCAAGACAAGATTTACCTGTTTTCTTCTTCGCCATTGCTATCCAAAATTACTAGAAGTTCTAACTAAAGCAATTAGGCAAGAAAAAGAAATCTAAATTGGAAAGGAAGAAGTAAAAATATGTCTATTTGCAGACAACGTGATCTTCTAGAATAGAAATTCTAAAGGAGCCACAAAAAAACCATTTGTGCTGATAAATACATTCAGCCAACTTACAAGATACGAGATCAACGCACACAAATAGGTAGCAGTGAACAACCTGGAAAGAAAATGAAAACAATTCCATTTACAATAGCATTCAAAAGCACACTGAAAACCGCAGCCTTCTCTATGTGGGTGCAGTTTTTTTAGTGGTTTTATTTTTATAATCAGAAAGATACATCTTTAAAAAGAATGCTATGGATTTAATGGCAGCCGTATGGTAGTTCCTACAGACTGTTTAGAGAAAGGACTTGTATTTTTTTTTTTAATAGAGTGGACAGCACTCCAAAAAAAGATCACAGAAGCTGGGGTGCCTGGGTGGCTCAGTTGATTGGAGAGTTGGATTTCTTTGGCTCAGGTCATGATCCCAGGGTCATGGGGTTGAGCCCCGCGTCACACTCTGCGCTGAGCATGGAGCCTGCTTGGGATTCTGTCTCCCTCCCTCTCTGTCTGTCCCTCTCTCCCGCTCACATGCTCTCTCTCTAAAATAAAAAGGGAGGGAGAAATCACAAAGGCTACATTCTCGATCTATCGGAGGGGTGTTCTTTCTTTCCCCAGATTCCAAAACTGCTCTGATTTTGGAGTATCCACTTTCCCTGAACACCTCGCCCACGCGTGGGCTCACACGTAATTGTGTACCATCCTCACGTGGGAATTACAGAGGGGCAAGCTTGAAATGTCAGGAAAAGTCTTTCACGTCCTCGAGGCTACGACTGGGAGAGGAGACCGCCCGCAGGAGGCCTGGTTGTAGGATGATGCACATGTTGTCAGACAAGTTAGTTCCCTGGAGAGGATCAGAACGGTGGCTTTTGACTGTTGCCCAAAGACGCGAGGGACAATGGATGTGCACCTCATGAGTCACTTGGGGCTGGACTGGAGAGAGGTTGAGTAAGCTGATCTCAGCCTTCTTGTGTATCAAGGTCCTTATAAGTATTTGGGAAGGCTTCAGAGCTTTTTTTTTTTTTTTTTTTTTTAAAGCTTTATTTATTTCTGAGAGGGACAGACTGTGCGAGCAGGGGAGGGTCAGAGAGAGAGGGAGGCACAGAATCCGAAACAGGCTCCAGGCTCTGAGCTGGCTATCAGCACAGAGCCCGACGCGGGGCTTGAACTCACAAACCGCGGGATCATGACCTGAGCCAAAGTCAGATGCTCAACCGACTGAGCAACCTAGGCACCCCTTCAGAGTTTTTTTTAAAAAGTCAGAAACCACTTTCTCAGGAAAAAAAAAAACCTGCTTCTCACACACAAAAGTCAGAAACTCACACACAAAAGTCAGAAACCACTGATGTTTAATCAGTTCTCTATTAAACGGCTTAATTAGCAGTTGGAGTTTCTTTTCTTGGCAATACTGGCCACCAGCAAAATCTTAAGCATGAGAAACTAAAATAAATTCTTTCTTGGGGCACCTGGGTGGCTCAGTCGGTTAAGCGGCCAACTTCAGCTTGGGTCATGATATTGTGGTTCATGGGTTCGAGTCCTGTGTCGGGCTCTGTGCTGACAGCTCGGAGCCTGGAGCCTGCTTCAGATTCTGTGTCTCCCTCTCTCTCTCTGCCCCTACCCCACTTATGTTCTGTCTCTCTCTCTCCCTCTCTCAAACATAAATAAAAGTTGAAAGAAATTAAAAAAAAAATCCCTCTTAAAATTTCTCCTTCTGCCTCAAGGAGAGCCTCATTCAGTATTCCACTCAGAAAAATTGGCTTTGTGAGACCAAGGAGGAGTCTTCTCGACACTGATCTTCTTGGTCCTGGAACATTTCTCTACTTCCCAGTGGGCCTTTCTCTTCTGTGCAGTGTTGGTGCAGAACCCATGTGTGTACCTACTTTTAATCTGCTGTGGAGGAAGGTGGGGTCTATTCAGAGAGGGTCTGTTCATCCATGCTTGCAGCTGAGGTATTCCAGTGCAGCCTGGGGCCTGTAGTGTTACTGGATTCCAGAGCCAGAGGAGCACTTAGAGGTAATTTTATTAGAAAATAAACTGATGGGGGCGCCTGGGTGGCTTAGTCGGTTAAGCGTCTGACTTTCGCTTAGGTCATGATCTCGCGGTTCGTGGGTTCCGGCCCCGCGTCGGGCTCTGTGCTGACTGCCAGCTCAGAGCCTGGAGCCTGTGTCAGTCTGTGACTCCCTCTCTCTCTGACCCTCCCCTGCTCACGCTGTCTCTCTCTCTCTCTCTCTCTCCTAGAAATAAATAAAAATTTTAAAAAAAAATTGGTTTAAAAAAAAAAGAAAGAAAATAAACTGATGTTCAGAAAGCTGAATGAGACTGTGCTCCCCAGTTTACATGTGCAGTTGTACAGCCAGAAAGCAGAAGTATATGGAGAAGAAGGAGAAATTCATCAAGAGTATTCATTCTAATCCTTTCTCTGCCTCTAATTTGTGACTTGACCTTGGACATCCCAGGCTCGTCTATTAGCATATTAGCTGACTCAGGGTTACCTTCCGGCATAAAAACTCCATGGACTGTACCAACCATGTGCTTGTAATGGTTTGGAGCAGCCTCTTGATAAATGGTCTTAGTAATTTAGCCTAGTTTTTATCTTTAGGAAGTACTGTAATTTTTTGGTCTGACCACTATCACGGTTCTGCTTGGTCTTTAGACTGAGGAGTCCTTTGTTTTCAGTGTAATTTATTGATTCTTGTTTTGTCTTATAGAGGGAAGGATTTTCTAAATTCAACAAGATCTATGAATTCGATTATCATCTGTATGGCCAGGTAGGTGCTATATTTCTGTCTTGCAGCTGAGGTGTGCTATTAGGTCCACGGGCCATTCTGGTGTACATTCCTCAAGTTCCTAGTTATGGCTATAAAAATAGAAGCTGTTTGCTACAGGTCATTGCTGAACTGCTTGTACCTTAAGAGTTATTTGATCAAGGGGCGCCTGGGTGGCTCAGTTGGTGAAACATCCAACTTCAGCTCAGATTATGATCTTGTGGTTGGTGGGTTCATGCGCCATGTTGGGCTCTGTGCTGACAGCTCAGCCTGCTTCGGATTCTGTGTCTCCCTCTCTCTCTGCTCTGCTCCCACCCACGCTCTGTCTCTCTCTCAAAAATAAACATAAAAAACAAACAAGTTATTTGATCAAGAAAACGAGCCTGGCCATCATTGAAGACGTCACTATCTTTCAAGAATAATTGTTGTTGATGAGGCGCCTGGGTGGCTCAGTCGGATAAGCATCCGACTTCGACTCAAGTCATAATCTCAGTTTGTGGGTTCGAGCCCCACGTCATCT